GTGGGGTGTGCACATATCTCGGGATATCCAAGAGCCCCCTCAGGAGTTCAGTGAGAAAATACCAGAACTTTGGTTTATAATATTTTTTTTCACCTTATTCTTTTAAAATTTCTGTGTTGTGCACTTTATAATGTCTGATATATTAGCACAGGAGTACATGAATAGAAGCTTTAAATAAACACACAGAAGGAGCGCGTCTCACAAAGCTTGCTGATGGGCATGTGTGGACAAAACTGATGGGTGCCCACTGCCTTGCAAAACTCACCCTCAGGCAGAGTGTTGGGGGGTCCCCTAAGGGGTGCCCACACCCACCCAGGAAAGCCCCTGCAGGTGCTCAGAAGAGTAATGCCCCAGAGCTAACTGAGAACCCAGGCTGCCTAACCCTGTTGCTAGGTTTTCCTTGACGGTAAGGCCTTGTTCCTAAATAAAACTCAAATGCCCTCAGGAAGAGCAAACACACAGCCCGTGATAACTGGCCTGGGGTGTTCTGATCTTTTTTGGTGATGAAGTAGAGGTGAATGGGACGTGGACCAGGGAAGACAGTAGGGAGAAGTCTCCCTAAGACAAACCCAACCTTATTCCCTAACCGCACATTTCCCCCAAGGGGACCTTGCAGGGTCCTAATTGAGTTGTGAGGCCAATGTTCTGCCAGTTTCCAGCATTACAGTTCTAGTAGAAATACCAGGGCCTTTGGGGATGGATATCTGAGTAGGAACCACAAGACACAGAATTAGATATTTCTCAGTAAGAGTCAGAGGGATCGCTGGGAAAAGAGTGGGTGTCTGAGCAAAAAGCTTTCCAAGGGTCCGGAAGGCTAGTGTGCTTTTGAATATTCCAGGCTGTACCCAGGGGGGCTGACATGGGGGTTTTGCAAAAGAGGTCAGCTCCTAAGAGTGTTGAGGGCCCTTGGGGATCCCAAGCAGGAGACCAGAGACACTTAAGCTAGGAAAACTGCCATTAGCCCCAAATACCTCTGACCTCTCAGAACTGTCATCTGTTGGAAACTTTTCTTGAGTTTTTAGAGCCATGCTGGCTCAAGGCTAGTATTTTGATGCATCTAATACTTTTCCTTCTCCATATAGTTTGTTAATTAGTTTTCTGGTGGGTGGGGGGAGAAAAATCCCAACTCTGAATAGGTTCTTTGGAAAACCTAAAAGGCACTCCCTGTCCCCACGAGGTCCACAGCAGCCTTCTAGCCTGGTGGGTATTTTCCATGTGCATACAATTCGTCTGTGCTTTTCATTGATTTTTTAAAAATATCCCCTTTCCTTGGCGGGACTCAGTTACTCACTCCAGACACAACAGAGGCTTGGCCTCCAGGCGTGGCCCAACCCAAGGGAAGGCTGGGCAGCTGCCTGTGGGTGCAGTGGAGGTGGCACGTGGACAGTAAGCCTCTGCTGCATCTGGGTGCTCATCTCTGGGTACACATTTATCCTGGAGTTCAGGTTGTCTGCCCCAGGAGTTATTTTTTAGCTTCCGTGGTTCTACAGACTGGTCAGGAAGACCCAGAATTGTTCCTTGTTTGTCCTAAGACAAATCTAATCTAAGTCAAAACCTGTGAATTCAATTAGATGAGGACTTAGGGCAAGAGCAGAGGACACAAGGGAATAAATCATCTCAGAAGCAGCTGTGCACTTATACAGAGAAGGGGCAGTCTAGCCCCGCTGGGGACCACATTTACCTCTCTGGGTGAACTTTGCTTTGGAAGGTAGAGCATTACCCTTTATGCTCCCGAATCACAGGGACATATTATGGAGTCTGCGGCTGCCCAGTGTCTGCCATGGCCTCATCCTTTGCTCTTCTCTCCTCTCTCTTCAACTCCCAGCTCCAGCCACTTTACTGCTGGCAGGCCCTGAGCAGCCCTCATTATCCCTTCTGTGGGCTCAGTCCCACGTTGTTCCCTCAGCCTGTCAGTGTTTTGCAACATTCTCCCTCAGTTCCCTGACAAACTTGGATGTGGCTGTCACCTCTTTCAGGAAGTTCCCTGGTTCCCAAAGCTGGCCTGGCATCCACCCAGAGATGCCCCCATCCTCCTAAGTGGCCCTTCCCCACTGTCTCCCACTCATGTCATGGCAGGTTCATGAGCAGGAGCTGTGTTTGGTTCAACAGAGTATTGCTGGCAATTGACTCAGGGTCCTAGGGCTACTAGGTGCTCTATAAATAATCTGTTGCATAAACGAGTCCTCTACAGTAGGAAAGGCAGTTACTAAAGATGCCACATAGGGGCAATCTGGATGAAGGGGCCCCCATTCCATGCACTGATGCTGCAGCCTCCCAGTGCAGCTGCTGAGAATGTCACCATCAAGGCCATGTTGGCAGAGGGGAAAGCAAGTGAGAAGTGCTGTGGCTGGCCTGGTCCACGGCCTGAGGTGTGCAACCTTCACATGCCTGGGGATGGGGACGGCTGCAGCCACAGCACCTGGGCCACAGGCTCAGAGGAGTCAAACATGCTAGTGGCAGGGCATCCTGGGGCAGGAGGCAAGTGCCATAAGCTCCAGCCTACACAAGGGCAACTCAAGCTTGCACAAGAGAGGCCACTTGCACTTCCTGCATGGGGATTATTATAGTTACACTGATACTGGCCTACATGTTCTCCTAGAAATTTCAGAAAGGTAAAAGCCAGCTCATTGAGTATTTCTGTAATAAAGTAGTTATATTTTGTCCCTGTATCTGTGTGTGTGTGTGTATTAAGGAAATATATCCAAATTTAGAGTTCTAATAAGGTAGCTGCTTGGTTCTACTCCAGGAAAATACACATTATTATATATTTTTTGTAAATGAATTTGCCTCTTGCTTTGAAGTGTGCTTGAAATCTATGGTGAAACTTCCCTGCTCACTTGACTGTCAAGTAAGAACTTCCCCTGAAGGTCTGGGTTAAAATGCCAGAAAATCAGGGCCTGTTTATCACTTCTGAGTCAAGGCCAAGAGACCGCCAAGGTTCTAGAGCTATTTTCAACTGTAGGGACCCTAAGGCAGTTCTGGCTGAGTTTACAGGGTTCTTTTTATTGATTCTAAGTCTTACTCAATCAAGTTCAAAGTCTTGGCCTAAAAATAACCCCTGGGAAAGGAAGAAGAGAGAACTGGGGTAAGGAGGAAAGACAATAGTAGTATAGAGGCTTTGCTTTAGGGATGAATCTTTAATCTCTTGAAAAATTTCTGGAAAAAAAAAAGCAATTTGCTTTTAATTTCCTTAATGGTTTCCCAGAGACAAGAGCCATCTCCCACATCATCTTGAGGGAATCTGAAAGCTGCCAGGTTAGAAGAGACAGGACCAGGGAGCCAGTTTTCATAGGAAAGCTGGACAGAGCACCCCCTTTAGGCAGGAAATTCTTTTGATTATTTGGCAGGTTCCCTCCAGGCCACACTTGTAGTAGCTGCTGTGGAGACAGGAGTCATCTTTAGAGGATGCGTCTTTAGGAACAAGGAGAGGAACTCTGGGGAATTCTGGAGCTCTTCTGACTTTGGAACACACTGCTAAGTGACCATCCGGCACCACATGACTACTCAAAATAGTCAAAGCTTTGAGAGAGATTCGCATCTAGATTCAGTGCTTTGATTAGCCTGGACAGTGTGGAACCCCCAGTCCAAAGAATAAAAAGAGACACAGAACTCTTGCCCCCAGAAGTGATTTCAAGCCAATGGGCCAGGCACCACCCTCCTTTAACCTTGGAGAGCAGCTGCTCCCAACTTCCCTACAGGATGAAGGCTTTGACCTTAGCGAGATGCAGCCTGGGATGCAACAAGCCTCAGACCAGGAAGAAACCTCAGGCTCCCCAGGCCATTCTAGTTGCATCAGGCACCTCACTGAGGAAGCCCCGGCTCCCTCTCTGCAGTGCCCAGGGGAGAGACATGGGCCTAACTTCCCAAATCCTCTTCCTTCTGGGCACTAAAGTCCTGAGAGCCAGGGGCCTCTTCCGGCTTATGTGTAGGTCACCAGGTGAGGGAGAGCCCAGACAATACTCCCTATGAGGAGACCGAGCTGAGAGGAGCAAGGAGGATTCTGGAAGGTGGGTGACCCCAAAGGGCTGTTTTCACAGTGTTGCAAAGGGCATAGCACTAGTTAAAAAATGTGGAGAACATCTGAATGACATCTTTCCTTCTTTCAACATGTGCACTGAGGTTGGAGAGGTACATTCTACTTCAGCTACTCCACTTCGAACTTGGGGTAAGAGAGTCACATCACAGCATTATTGTGAGCATCACATAGATGGCTTAAAATGCCCAGCATGGTATCTGGCACAGAATGAATATAATAATAAATAGTAGTTCTTTTTCCTCTTTCCCTGAGATTAGATTAGATCCCAGGGAAGGTATGAGAGTCTAAACAAACATGGCAACACTAGCCAGTCCTAAGGTTTGTCACAAATGCAAACACTTTCACCCACAATCCTCCTTTTCTGGCACAAATTTTTGTCCATTTTTCCAGAGATGTACAAAAATGTGACTAAAGTCAAGGACATTCCCCCTCCCATTGGAAAAACAGTCCCATTCACCAGCACAAGCGATTCACAGACCTCATTCATGAAATTCCAAAGGTTTACTAATGGGGCATCTGTGGTGTGAAGACTGCTGCCCCCACCCCCAGATCTCCACAGTCACAAGGGTGAGAAGTCGAAGTTCCCGGGCCCTTTCTCAATATGCCCTAAAGCATAGAGTCCTGCTCCCCAACATGTCTTATTTTTCTATCAGGGTTTAAGCAATATAACAAAAAGTTTAATTTCTGAGAGGTACAAAGAAATAAAGCTCTGAGAACTCCTTCCAGCGGAAAAGCATAGGGGGGGATTTTATGTAAAATTATAGACTACAATCATAACACTGTTTTTTCTTCAAATGAGAATGTTGGGAAGAAGAAGAGAACCTAGACACCTATTGTTTTGCTTTCACAAAGAACATATTAGAGACCTGGAGTCCAAGCTCTATAATCAATAATTTCCTAGATTAAGAATATGATAATTTTTCTTCTTATCAATCCAACATATTAAACCAAGTTTCTTTGTCAGACTCATAGAGATGGAACGCTGTTTTACATTCTTGCCTAATATCTAAGCAAGACTTAGAAGAATCAATGACAACCTGAACCATAAGCTGCTGAGGTAAATTTTTGAGGTAAGAGTAAGCTCTGTTTTTAGCAGGATGATGGGACAGTCTGGCCCAAAGAGAGAAAAAAAAAATTGTCAACAATTTTTGAGAAGGAATGAGGGCAGAGGTACACCTCAAAGCAGGATGGCATCATGGGGGACCATAAGGTGAGCGCCATCTTCCCTGGGCTTGCTCTTGACTTGTGGGAAGGCCAGGGCACAGGACTAGGGACCCCCGGCTGCTGCTCCCCAAGTCATCTCTTAATGGGGTCCACAAAGCCCAGTGTAGATAAGGACCCTGCACACGGAGAGGCCTGTCTCTCAGCAGGCCAGTGGGTGGTCCCTGCTGTTTCTGAGGGCTGACCTAGTTTTCTGTCTCTGAACTTCTTTGTTCTGAAACAGATCGCAACACCACTGTGCTCCAGTCTGAGGCTAGGAGGCATCGCCGAAGTATAAACCTCTCTGGAGCTTCTCTGCCAGAAACAAACACGCATTCAGTTATGACAGCGGTACTCCGTGATCCTGAACCTCCGCCAACCAAAAGAAAGCTGCGCACACACTGCTGAACTTTTACAACTTTACAATTCGGAGCACATAAAGCTGTGTGATCCAGCTGTAAATCTTGTTGACAGTTGGCCCCACCCACTGGCTGCTTGGCAGCTGGCTTTTGAATTGTACCGGGCACCCAGCCATTCAAACAACCCTTCTCTGCTAATGTTTCTCAGCCCATTTCTCATTCTTTTTCCTACCTCCTTTCACCAGGCCATTTCCCGCCCTCCTTTCCTTGCAGATATCTCCCTGAGTCCTCAGAGATAACAGCTAGCAGAAGCGCTAGCTTCTGGCTTATCCTCACTGTATCTGAGACAATCTGCTGGAGGTGCAGATACACAGGGGGGCAAAAGGCAACATATTATTCTTCTAGACCCTTTTAGGAGGCATACAAAAATAAAGTACAAACACAAATCACTTGATAATTTTATGATTAAAACCAATAAATGGAAAACAGACAGTTTCGAGTGTTGCTAACATAATCAAATGTTTCCTGCCAACCCACTCAACCACCCCATTCTCAGATCTATTTATGGATGCACCAAACATGTCAGCTGATGGAGTCACTTTTGCACATCAAAGAGGGTGCCAGAACTCCAGGTGAAAAGCCACTGATTCATACCACCCCTCAGGTTCTATGAAACACTCAAAAAGTTAGCTTCCTAGGAGACATTTGGTGTCGTGTGCACGTGCACCATGCAAAATGGTAACACGTCTGTGAAAAAACATTTCACCTCCCGGTGGAGAGTGGCAGCTCTCTGGGAAGACATGGTCTGAGACACCAAGAAGAGGTGTCAGGGAAGACATTAGCATTTGGTTCATTCTTGCTTGATAAGAACAAGAAATCCCGGGAAAAGGTCATCCCCATCACATGAAGCAAAGTCCCCAGGGAACAAGTTTGAGGTGGGGCTTAACAGTGGCTTACAGTTGAGGAAAACTATTTTAGTCTCTTGGTCAAAAACCATACAAAGGGAGGCAACTGAAAACCCTAGGCGACTTGACTCTCGCTGCATTTTTCTGCTTGAAGCAGGATAAAAAGCCTTAAATTTTGGCTGCATCTCTATTTACGTAACAACCACAGCTGCTCCCCAAAATAGCTGTTGCTGGCTGCAAGAATTAAGGGCTTTTTGTTGCTAACATTTGAGTCCATTTTCTATAGCACTTGACTGAGTTTCCTTTCCCTCCCTTGCGTGCCCAGGGCCTAAAAGGAGATAAGGAATCTCACATTAGCACACCAAGGTGCGGATGGACTTCAAAGTCAAGGCTCATCTTCTCAGCTAGAACAGACTTAGCTTTTGCTCTGCCAGGGCAAGTGGCCCTGGACTACCCAGACATCTTAACGTTCCCAGGGTGGCAGAGCGGCTGACATCATGCCCTTCACACTGACAACCCACGAGAGAGAAATGTACGGCGCTCCTTCTGTGTTCCTGTGGGGCAAACCCAAACCCGGGCTGCTGGCGTGGTATTTAAGAGAGTGCCTCCCCCAAAAGTAACAAAGAGAATCCTCATCAAAGCTATCAAACGCGTTAAAAAAATACAAATTGATTGCTATTTACTTGTGACAACGTTTGTTAAAAATATTACTTCTGTCTCTGAGAAGAGAAAACTCTCTTCATATAATATGGAAAAATAAACTCTACCAAACCCACAGTCAACATTCTCCACACTGCCCTGGGGCTTGGGCTTTTGCGTCTCCATGCGTCATCACCAGCGTAAATGGAGGACATTTTTCACTGTACTATCCAGTGTTGCAAAAAAAGGGGAAACAGGCGGTAAGGAGGGAGAGACTTCAGAAGGAGGATGGCTTATCTGCTAACCAAAGGGAAGGTCACAGGGTGGCTTCAGGTCCTCCTAAAAGTCGTGGGATGTCCCCTCATCTCTTCTGACTGCTCACGGACCTGCTAACACTTGGGGCGTTCTTCATGGAAGGGGACGGAGCCAGTTAGGTCCAGCATCAATGTCACTGCAAAGGGCTCCTCTTATGCGCCCGGGATCATAATGAAACACTGAACTGGAGGAATGGGAGAAGACAAGGATACATAAAAACAGTAAAATGTTTATTTTCTTAGAAAAAAAAGTGGGAAAGAGGGATTCAGAATGATTGTGATCACACTTTCGTTTGCATCTGAGCAAAGCCAAAGTTGCAAGCTTAATCCTTGATTAAGATACCTACTAAGTGAAGCGACCTGCTGTTCTTTCCTAGGAGTCATGTCACACATGCTCTGAATGCTTCTCTACTTCTTCTTAGCAGAGAAACAAGGCTTGTCAAAGCAGCCATCCCATCTCCAAAGCTCAACATTGTCGGTGAGGAGGAGGAAAGTTCTAGTGCTCAGGGGAGACAGGGAGAAAGGAGAGCAGGAAGGAGACGCTTGTCTTAGAAGTGGAACTGGTTTAGAATAGAAGTTTGATATCTGAGTTCACCACTACTTCATCTTATAGAAAATAGGTTGGAGAGCATCTGTAAAACCGACAATATCTTTAAGGTGAGAATGCAGAATTTTGCTGCATACCTGGACACAAGAGAAGTGAAAAGTTGCAACAAGTTTTAAGTAGCAGCAACAAAGAAAGTTCGATAACAGTTTTGTTTTGTTTTTAGCAATATTCCTTTGCAAGTTCATTAAGAAACACTGTAATTTAATGGGGCATATGCTATGGAACGATCTTCTTTTGCTATAGTGCTGTCCGTTGAAGAGAACCGACCTTTGCAAAGATTTCAACTGGGGTGTAACCTATTTACACAGTAGTAGCTCCGGGTTTGAGTGGTAGAATTGGTGCTATGTGATATCCTCTTCTTCCGAACAGTAATCTCGACCCTTGAAGGGAAAAGAAAAGAATAACGTGTGAATGAAAAATTCAAAGCCAAGCCCAAGTCAGTTCCTTGCAATCAATCAATTTGTTCTCAGTCTATGCCTCCTTGCAGCAGAGACCAGGTCAATTGATTTATAAACTGTATAGAACTCAAGGCAGGTAAGCTTTACCAAGCTCCAAATAAGCCCTTATCATGGCAAGAGTTTCTGCTAGGTTATCCAAAACTCAGTCTTTGGAATTACCAAATGGATGACTGGTCTCCAACCAAGAGACCAATTTCTCAGGAAGAAGAGAAAGTGAAATGCACAGTCAACAAGCCACTTTCAGCTCTGTCCCACCCGCTCTCATTCCACAAGCCGGGAATTATTCACAGTTTTACAGCCAGGGAGGGAATAAGTGAGGGATGTCTTAATTTTAATCCACTCTAGATTAAACATAACTTAAAAAACAACAAACACATGGGCTTCCCCGGTGGCGCAGCGGTTGAGCGCTGGGTTGCAAAGCTGCCCGCAGCCTCTGCAGCGCCAGTTCGGGAGGGTGAGAGAATTCACTAGAGCCAGAGCAGGGAGCAGAACAGGCAGAAGGACCGAAGTACACTGCTGAGGGGAGCAGCGGGCGGCAGGAGAGGTCTGTGTGCCATGTGGGACCCTCCTCCGGTGGCCGGGGAGCAGCCGGGGATCGAACTGGCGCTCCAGAGGCTGCGGGCAGCTTCATAACCCAGCGCTCAACCGCTGCGCCACCGGGGAGGCCCTTGACTTTTCCTTTTTAAATTCACACTACCTTTCAATTTTGGAGTAGGGGAAAGGTGATATTTCTTAAAAAAACGGGTCTTTCTAAATAACTGGAACTTATTCCTAAAAGTACTAAGAACTTAAAACAATAATTTTGCACACAACTATTTCTCCCATGTAGAAAATGTTTCTTTGTCACATTATCTACATATTAGAAATATTTCACATTTCGGGGCCCTTGACAGGCTAACTCTGGACTCTTGAACAGGCTACCATTCTGTGTCTCAGTTTCCCCAGCTGTACATGAATACAGGAACATACCTACTTCATGGGGTTGCTGAGGATTAAATAGGACCTGGCACATAATTTTACACTTGGCACATACGTGTGCACCTGTGTGTTTGACAAATTTTGAAAATGCTGCCACACGATGAAGTCTTCAGGGCCTGCAGACACATGAGGGGTGTCTTCTGTGCCAGATGGCCACAGATGGCTGTTCTCTCTGAATGGGATTCACTAATTAGCAGGTTCGTTTCCTCCAGCCATCGAGTATCCACTTCACCCCCCTCTTTGCATAGTGTCTGAGTCCAGTGTCATCTCCAGGCTTGTTTTATTTAATGTGTTAAATGTCTCCTGAACAGAGACGCAGAGCAACCAATCTTCTAGAGAAGTGTGACTTCCGCTGTCACCCCCTGGACAGCCAGTCAAGCAAGGGGTCTTCTGTCCAAGCAGATGCCAATCAAGTGTTGGCTCAGACACTTGGGACACAGTCTCTGAGCCACCTGTCGGAGAGCTAGAAAGGAGGGCCTTGTGGTCCCCCACCATTGGGAGCTTATTCTCCAATGGGGAAACAGGCTGCAGTCAAACATATCAATACAATGCCAAAAACACACAGGATGCTTTCCACATATCCTCAGCTCAGCAGTTTGGAGAGCAGACATGCAGATGGACAATGGCTGTTCAGTTCATCTGGAGGGAAAGGCAGGGGTCCTGGAATTTTCATGGTGGGTTTATGGAGGATGGGAAAGAGGAACATTTCTGGTGTGTATGTTACATATACACTGTTGTGTGACATTGGCCAAAATATCAGGTTTTGGTTTCCTGGGGATGACCATGGTCTCTGTCTCATAGACGACCAGGCATAGGAATAGGTGATCTGATAGTGTCAGGGAGCCCTCCCTTCCACCTCAGCCTCATACCCCAGATGGGTCTGTTTTCAAATAAAGTTTCCATGGCAGAATCCAACTTCTGCCATTCTTTTTCATATCTAAATGAGGATTCAAATAAAAGCACAGACTCAGCCAAACAATGTGGGGGCTAGAGGGTACCTTATCTGCAAGGAAGACATTGGAAACTATGACACACACACACATGCACACACATACACTTGGGAACTGGGACACTCATCGATGAAACAGTGTCTCTCACTCTGTAAACAAGTTAGTTTTGCAGCAGCAGGAGCAATTTCAGGCCCTTCAAGTTGACTTTTCACAAGAAATCAGCCCACTTTCAGAGGCAAATCTCTACAAACCCTCAGTGTCAACTCAAAGCTGCAACATACATTTTCTAAGTCTTTGTGTCTCTGAGATTTAAATCATTATGAGAAGAAGGAAAAAGGCATTAGTTGCTCCGCTGACATCATTTCATTGACTATTTACTCCAACTCCACCAGGCAGAAATGGGGTATCCCGTTATTATTATTTGTGGGGAAGCATCAGAGAAGCAGCCCAGGAGCCTCAGGCTAACCCTGGCCTGTTTGCTATGACGGTAGTGAGTTGATAACTAAATTTACACTCAAATCATGCTTCACGTTTGTTATTATCACCTGCCAGCAGCTGTGGGAAGCAAGTATTTTGTGAACAGAAAATCTGGAAATCAAAAACACATCGAGAGCAAGAGCTATCAGAGGGCCACCCAGTGTCGTTCTGAGCCAGGAGAACCTGGGGGGGATTATAATTGGAGGACCCCCCAATGCACACTGGACACACTACGGGATTCATGGCTTTGGGAACTTAGTTCGCACCTATAACATGACTTCATGTCTCATTTACATTTTTAAAGGCCCCTGCTGTTGGAAGGCAGGAAATCGGAGCAAGCTGGGCTAGGAGGCACACTGCTCCTCTCTCAGTTGCAGCTTTCCCTTGCCCCTTAAAGGGACGACAAAATGGAAGTCTTTGTAAGGATGCCTTAGCAGTCAGAATTGGGGACTGTCAGGCACAATTCCACCCTTGTGCAAAGGACACACTGGAAGCCACAGAGAGCAAGGTCCCCAGGAGGCCCCCACACGCTGGTAGAACGGAAACTCCCAAGGATGCTGACAAGGAAGGGTTGTTTCAAGAACTACAGGGACATTTTAGTGTGGCCTCAAAAGATCTCCAGGAGCTTTTGCCTACAGAAAGCTCCCTGACCACTTGCTTCCCTACTTTGTATAGCTTTCCATGGTCTATTCAGTTGTTTATAGTCTTCTCTTGGAAACTCCTCAAAGTTTATGTCAACACAGAACATACATTCCTAAGGTTTTAGGGGAAAGATTTTGTTTGAGGAGGTGTCTAGGCTAAGAATGAGAGTGTTAAGGAGTATTGAAGGAAAGGCCATTGACTAAATTTTAAATTCTGCTAGCTTAAAAGGGAACAAAGAGTGACTTTAAACAAAGAAACTTCTTTCCAAGTGTGCAGTACTTTTTCTTCTCAAGTTTAAGTTGACAGTCTAGACTACAGTCTACATGGACCTGTAGTTTCTTTCAATTAGAAAAGGTTTTATTATAAGAAAAAAATGCTGTCAGATTAAAGTGCAAAAAAATTGTGAAATTATGGCAAAATATTTAAAAACCTCTACACATCTGCCCCCATAGGACCTCAGCACTTATACATGAGCGCTGGGCTTTGAATGCCAACACAGAAGTCTCTAAATATATGAAACTTTGGCTACTAATACATACACTTCAAGCATATAACAGCCAGGTACGAACTAAGTTCCCAAAGGAGTAGATTAGAGTCCAGTGAAAGTCACCAAGAAGAAGCATGGAACTCAGGTTCCCCATCTGTAAAATGGGAATTAGCAGTAATGCACATCAGGTGTTTTGCAAAACTGGGCACAAGGTAAGAACTTAATAAATTATAGCTCATAAATAATGATACCGAAAGATGAGATAAATAGATCTTATAGTTAAAAAACTAGATGAGAAGTGGGTTGGATCAATAAGCTACCCTAAGCTCTTCAAACAAGCTGGGCATCTTGAGGCCTGGGTACTTGTTCTTCCATTTCCTTCCTGGAACTCCCCCTGCTCCCAACCTTCACCTCCCCATCCACTACTTCTCATTTTCTAGGTCTCTGCTCAAATATTACCCCATTGTCATCCTTGAACACATAACACACAATAGCATTCTTACTCTGTTTATTTTTATTCATACTACTTATCATTACTGACATTATTAATATAGTAATCTATTTTTTTATTGGCTGTTTTCTCCCTTGAATAAAAGTTCCAAGAGGGCACAGACCATTTATTTTATGTAGCACTGCATCCTGGACCTAGAGTTGCCAATATGTCAGATGCTCAGTAAAAATTTGTTGAGTGAATGAAAGGATGGCAAGTACCTAGAGAGTACTGGAGCCAGAGAGGGACCTGGAAATGAAATGCCCCATTTCCAATATTCCAGACACAAAGGCTTCTCTTTTCAGCTGGAAAACATCAGGTTCGTTCAAGCTGCCCATGGAACTGTTTAACAGTTGAGAGCAACTTAGTCTGGGCCTTTGGAACCACAGGATAAGTCTTCCCAGACAGACTTATCCCTCCTCCGACTGTTAGGTTTAACATGCACTTTTTAAAATGGATCCATCAAAACATCACCAGCACAGAATAAGATATCCCAGCAATACAGCCTGAGATAAATTAGAAGTAAGAGCCTTACAAGGAGTATAAGCAGAAACGAGAGATTCCAAGAGAGTGGATGTGCTCAGTCTTAACAATAATAAGACATCTAAAACTGAACTTTTTTCAAAGCTCTGTGGAGGAAGATAACTCTTTGTCTCAAAGCAATAGAAAAGATCACAGAGGAAAAAAATTAAAAAATGAACACAATTTTATCATGTAAAAATTAGCCTTTGCATGTCAAAAAATAATAAAGTACAATAAAATGGCAAACCTTGTAATGGGAAAAATACAGGCAGCACACAATGTGTAGATGCTTAAAGTTATGAGACAATAAAAAACCGAACGGAAGATCTCAATAAGAGCGATAGAGGACATAATGAAAACTCATCTAGAACAAAAC